AATGAATCAAGCCCTTGTCCAGGATCTAATCTTTTTCTGAGCAAAGGAGCCGCATACCAGCAAAGTCCAGTTCCAGGAAGGTTATAGGGTGGAGGAAAGACATACAGGGGCCCAGATTCCAGTGCACACCAGACAGACAGACAAATCTATTCCCTCTGCTTTGGAAATGATGATCCACCCCAGTGGTACTGTGTTCTTTTCTTCCTTTCTTTTTAAATTTTGCTCTCTGTGGTACTGTGTTCTTTTCTTCCTTTCTTTTTATAATTTTGCTCACTGGAGACAGAGAGAGAGGGAAAGTAAGAAAGCACCCCCTGGGGGCATGACCATGCCATAGTCCCTTCTCACCCATTCTTTTTTTGAGATTTTGCGCACACATCACACATGCCTAGTGTGTTTTTTCAAGCCACTGGGTCCACGATTCAAACTGTGCAGTCAGCCATGTGAAACCCAGCAACCTTAACTTCCACGCGAATGCTGGCCCCCATTCCTTTCTTTAAAAAATTCTAAAGTTACTACATTCCAGAAGTCAGAGCCCAAGTCATCCAGAAAGTTCTCTGGGTACCTCTTGCTATAGACAAGTAGCGATGGTGATGTGGTCTGAAGCAGCCCCACCCCTGAAGTTCTGCATCCTCTATACCTCCTGAGCTGTGTGTGGGAATCTACTCCAAGGTAGTCAGGGCCACAGCCCAGGTTGCACCTCAGGGGCTACAGAGGAGGTGCAGTCATGGGGTTGTGTTAGGTTTGAGCTGTCAAGGGGTTTTAAAACACTTGAGCCAACATTTAAAACATGGGAGAGTTCAGATTGGCTCTCCAGCTTTAGGCAGCCCTGTAGTCAGGGCACATGATCTACAATGTAATAGAGTCCCACCCCCCCACTCCCTATGGCACCCTCGCTGAGGTCTCAGGCTCCATTGCTAATTATCTTCATAACTTGCCACAAGCCATCTTAGAGAAGGCAAATCATTTCTTCTTCTTTTTTTTTTTTTTTTTGGAGAGGTTTTTGGCTATAGGGCACGTGTGCTTACCAGAAAAGCAGAGAGAGACAGAAAGCGAGAAATCACCCCCGAGGGGGCATGGCCACGCCGCAATCCCTTCTCCTCCATTCTCCTCTTGGGACCTTGGGCAGGTGTCTGGCGGGAGTTTAAGCCACTGGGTCTGGGACTCCAACCACAGTCGACTACATGGGCATCCAGCGACATAGCCATTACGCCAACTGCTGGTCCCAAGAAGGCAAATTATTGCTTGTATCCATTCCGTACCTGTATCAGAATGGAAAGACCAATATAGATCAAGAGATGGAGTGTTTCAAGAAACATCCTAGTGAGGGCATGCTTCTCCCTGAAATACAGACTGTTTGAACATATTTAATATTCAGTACAAAATGTCTTTGGGTCCAAAGTCATGTTTTTTTTTTACCTTCCTGGCTCCTGTAGGCCCCTGAGAGATTTGAGATTTCTGTACTCATGAGAGAGTTTCAACTCCAACCCCAAAGTCTGCAAGACCTCTCATCTTCTCACTTACAGACCCTGGACCTGTTTCCTCATCCACCCAGTGGGGTGCAAACCTCCAAGGGGCAGTTCTGGTGAGAGGTGAGGAAGAACGGCATGCTCTCTCAGCGGGCGCCTGCGAGGAGGTCCAGCCTCTCAGGGGTTAAGGTTTGCTTTCTGTTTCTCTTCAAACGCTGGTCTTCCAAGTGGTGATAAAAGACTAGACTGGAGTGTTTTCAGGTTTGCACACTTCTGAGAAGCCCCCCCACCCCCGCTTCCTTTTATGCAAAGAGGTTTCATTTCTCTAGATGTTGGGGCGGGGGGCAGGGGAGAAGGCAACAGTGTACCAGGCAGAAGTCAAGCTGGCAAACAGGTGGGCTGGAAGTTACCAGGGGCCAAGAGAGGCCCCACCTTCCTGAGGTGCTCCAGGCCACCTGGTGATCCTAGGGTGACTTTTGAACCTCAGTCCAACTAAGGCACATCAAGGCCACCGGATGAGCAGGTATGATTTCAGGACTGCTGCCAGAAAATGGTCCCCAACAGTCACTAAAAGCTGATACTGGAAAGGTCACTGGCTTTGGGGTGGCCCAGGAGGGGGACCCTGGGTGGGCAGGACCTGGGGTCTCTACCACCGGGCAAAGGGCGGGCTTTGTTCTTCCTGCTCTGTGCTGCTAGAAACTCCTTCTCTAATTCTGCCTCTGTGACGGAGGAAATGGAAGAGCGAGAAAACAGATCGCAGCTGAAAAAGATGAGCGTCCAGATCCCGGGAGTGATTTTCTGCACCGTTCATTTTGGCGATGTCCAGGGCAGCTGAAAGGGACGGCTCGTCTGCGGGATGAGATAGATGCAGACGTCAATAAGGAATTCATGGAAGCACAAAAGGCGGGCCGGGTGGGTTTTATTAATTACATTTCTTTTATCCTCATAACAATGGCTCGTCAGTAATCTACACTGAATGTGCCCAGTTGATGCTAATGATTTCATCCTTTTGTTTCTGTTGAGGAGGAAAGAAAAAAGGTCTGTCTGCCCAAGCTAGGCAGCCACAGCATAAGCCTGCTGCCCACAAGGCCCTGGAAGCCCTCATCTGAGCCTCTTCTCTGTCATTTTGTACCCTAGCTCTCCCTGGCAATGCCAACAGTATCCTGCCTGGCCGTGCCGGTTCGCTGTGCTCACCACCCCGGCCTCTAGCCTCCATCCTGCTACAATCCCACACACAGGATCGAGTCTTCTTCACGTGTGTATTGATGGGCAGGAGGTGGGGGCAGCATTTCCAAGCCAAGCACCTCTTGGTGCACTGCAAATCACTTTTGCAATTAAGGGTTTTTTTGTTTGTTTGTTTGTTTGTTTTGTAGAGAGAGATTTTTGCTATAGGACTTGTGTGCTCACCAGAGAGACAGAAAGCAAGAAATCAATCACCCCCTTCCCAGGGGGAGATGGCCACACTGCAATCCCTTTTCCTCCATTTTCCTCTCAGGATTTTGGGTGCACAGGTACATGTACCTGGTGTGAGTCTTAAGTAACCAGGTCTGGGACTCGAACCATAGTCAACTACGTGAAGTCTAGCGATGCAACCATTATGCTATCTGCTGGTTCCAAGGGTTCTTTTTAAAGAAGGAAAACATAATAATTGGTTATAGATTCCTTTTTTTTGGAAAGGTTTTTCCTATAGGGTGCGTGCGTTCTCCAGAAAAACAGAGAGAGACACAGAAATAGAAAGCGAAAAATCATCCCCCGAGGGATGGCCACACCACAATCCCTTCTCCTCCATTCTCCTCTTAGGATCTTGGGCATGCACGCACACGCGCCCAGCATGAGTTTTAGCAATTGGGTCCGGGACTCGAACTGCGGCTACATGGGAGTTCAACGATATAGCCACTATGCTAACTGCTGGTCCCATTATGGATTACTTTCTTTCGACAATCCCTGTCATAAATTAGAAAAGGGTATGTGAGTTGGGTGTGGGCACAGCAATGACTGATAAGAGTGGAAATCATTTGCCCCCTTCTGTCATTGTACTCCCACCCTGGATTCCCTCCAGATCCCAGAAGGAATTGTCAGAAAAGGCATTGAGGGTCATACATGCTACACCTCAGGGCCCTTCTCTCCTTCTCCCTGGTGCCGTTCCGCCATGGGCTGTTGCACATCTGGCCCAGGGGAGAGGCCCTAACGAAAGCAGCCAGCCAATGTATTGGGTCATCGGAAAAGTCATGATGTCTTTTTCTAGGTTTTTCAATGCAAAAATGTGTCACGACTTTTCTGACAGCCCAACCCAATATGTTCTGCTATCAATGAGACAAATGTACACTCCTGACACCTCTGTTACATTTATGAGTGAGACAGAGAGACAGGCACCCCCAACGGGGTCTTCACACTGTGACCCACCCCTAGTCTCAGTGGCCAGACCGTGGGGACACATGTACATGCCTGACATGCTTGGGAAGCCCCGGGATACAAACCCAGGAACTTTCCCAGGTGAGTCCAGTTGCATTATCCTGCACCACCATGTGGCCCTGGCACCTATGTTACTACTTGGATACAGACTTCATCGGCGTGTGATGTGTGGGCTCTCATGCAAGCTTTGGATAGCCTTTAAAATGAGAGCTATGTACCGGACTCTGACCTGGACTCTTCCAGAAGGAACATCCTGAAGGGGGTTTGGGGTTTGGAAGACCCTCTTTGGCCCCCCTTCACAGTGATGCTTCCTCCTCTTTCAGGTTTGTGGGGATTCCGCCTTGGCCATCTCCACCGACAGCTGAGACAGGACTATTCTGGAACGCCCAGGCAGGGGGCTTGAGGGTGACCTGAGTTCCAGGAGAGAGCCCTGGGCATATCTTGAGGATGACTCTGCAACTGTCTGTTTATTGAAGAGGTTTGGGAGAGGCCGATGGTGATAAAGGAGGGTGTCACAGCCTCCCCCACTCCCATCTCTGGCAAGGCCAACCTCCTCCTCCCCCCACTGGACTTTCTGTTCTACTCTCAGCCTCCCCAGAGAGCAGGACCTGAGTTGCACAGTTGATGGGCCAGGGTCCTCCTAGCCCTGGTGGGGCCAGTGTTGCTGAGACGCTGATGATGCTCTGGTGGAAGGCCCCACCACGCGCACCCTCATCCTGAACAGCTGCTGGACCCCAGCACGCTCCGCCACTATAAAAATATCAGCACTGCCGCCTCAGCTCCTGGAGAAGGTCTCAGCGTGACAGCCTGCAAAGTAATCCTGCATTTGAATTTCATCTACAAATCCTGGCTTCCCCCAGACAAACTCAAACCTGCACAGATGGCCCCTCACACCAAAAAGTAAAAATAACAAAGCTCGCGATTCTGGGCCTCCCTACTTCTCTGGGCAGATGTGCTGGCTGCTCATTTCGGGAGGCACACAGTCTGCATCCCAGCAGCAGCCTCTCTCCTCCTGTGCCTTCTCACTCACCCCTTCTGGCATGCTGGTGGGTGGTAGCTATGGCTCTTCAGGGTGTGTCCTTGAAAGTATTGGGGGTGCCTGAACCTTTGAAGTGCGGTAGGGGGATCCAGTGGGGCAGATTAGTGTGAGAACTCATCCCTCACTTGACTAACCCAAGACCTGCCATGTGGTCCTTCATGAGATGCCCCAGGGAAGGGGTGGAAGGGCTGCAGCCAGATCTCAGGTAACGTGGCCAGCAGAAGTGGGAGGATGAGAGGCTGCTGTGCTAAAGACCAGGGCATGCCAAGGGCAGGTGACATGGTGGGAAAGGAAATTCTGGGGGCAACTGATTTTTTGAAACCTCCTCCCCAAACCCCAATCATCCACAGGAGCCTCGATGACTCCTGAATTCTTTCCATCGATGTTTGCTGACCGTTTCTATTCCAGGCCCTGAGGCTATAGTTAGGGACAAGACAGACTGAAAGAGAAGGGACTCAGAGAACATACCCATCTATAGGCTGGGTGGTCAAAGACCCACTGATCAAGAAGGTCAGAGCAGGAGAGAGGCCAGTGGAGGCAGGAGTCCCCTGCTGGAGACTATGAGAGCCATGTGTAGACAGGTTCCACTTCTGATAAGCCATGTGACCTGGAGCTCATGAGACTCTTCCAGAAAAGGCTGCTATTTTTGCTCCACCAGAGAGTCACGTGAGATAAAGGTGTTCAGTTGCAAGTAAAATACAATCTAAACTGCCAGGAGAAAAAAAGGAATTTATGGATTCATAGGCATTTTGATGTTCAGAAAAATAGTTCAGGGACATATCTAGCTGCAGGTGTGGCTGGATTGGGCTACTCATGCGCCGTCCTCAGGAATCTGGCTCTCTCCCTAGCAAGAGTTGGGAAAGGGTGTGAGTTGGGAGTGGGCACAGCTCTGCTTCGTTCTATGCTGACTGTGTTCTCTGAGTGGCATTTGCCAGTATCTCCAGGCTGACCTTCCTATCAACAGGTACCTGCTTCCCAGCATGTCTACCCAAAGTTCTTTTTTTTTTTTTCCTTTCTGGAGAGGTTTTTGCTCTAGGGCTCGTGCACTTGGCAGACAGACAGAGAGAGACAGAGAGACAGAAAGCGAGAAATCACCCCTCAGGGGGGATGGCCACACCGCAATCCCTTCTCTTCCATTCTCCTCTTGGGACCTTGGGCACGCACACACACGAGCCCGGCGTGAGTTTAAGCCACCAGGCCTGGTACTCAAACCACGATTGACTATGTGGGAGAGTCCAGCGACATAGCCATTACACTAACTGCTGGTCCCTCTACCCAAAGTTCTGAGGATGATTCTCATTGGTCCAGCTTGGGTCACCTAATCACTGTGGCCCTCCGAATCACTGTGGCCAGCAGCATGCAATTCTCTGACTGGCCAGCATGTGTCATGTGCCAGTCACTGGGACAAGGTTGGAGCCAACCCATCTGAACTGCCTGGCTCCGTAGCATTCTTGCTGGCCTCTGCGCCAGGCCCAGGATGCAGAGGTGGCTCTGGACACCCTTATGGAGAAGCCTGCCCCCACCACCCAGCCTCGGAAGTTACCACCCAGCCTCAGGGGGAAGCAGCCCAGTGGGGACTGCTCACAGTTGAGGTCTGTCTCATCCCCAGGTCCCCCAACTTTCCTTTCTGGTGTCTCCTAGGACTTACTCTTCTTGGACTTCCACCTCCTCTTCCTTAGATCTGAAATCCCCCCACCTGACCCAGGGAAAAAACAGAGACTAGGAGGGTCTTCACTAGCCAAAGCCCCAGGCCAGGGCTTCTCATGCACAAAGCCTCTATCTGCTACCCACAGGCCACTCAGGGTAGAATAAAGGTGTCAAGCCCAACATCATGGCAGTTCAAGGAGGCCTAGAACTGATGAAGTCAAACGCCCAAGGCTGTTGGCCCTGAGTTTGGGAGGGGAGAGAAAAGGAAATGGGTATTATCAGGGAGACATGCTGAGAAGGCCAGGGAAGAGAACTGGGAGGAGGCCAACAGAGGAAATGAGCTTCTGGGCACCACACACGCCTGAGCCACTATTCTGATGGTTTTGGTGAATGCATTAGGGTCAATGTAACTGAATTGCGTGAGAGAGCCTGCATAGAAACTTCCATAAAAAGAACCTGGAGGGAAGGCCTGGAGTCAGGGTGGAGCTCAACCAGATAGCAGGAAGTACAAGGTTCCCAGGCAGGTGGGACTCTTGCCCAGTGAGGGCTCATCCACAGCAGGAAATGTTGTCAACGCTTTAAGCCTGTGTATCATTTAATTCTTCCACAATCCTATGGGGTGGGTTGATCACTGGCCCCATTTTAAATAAAAGGAAACTGAGACACCGGGAGGTTCAGGTTAGGCAATTTGCCCAACATCACACACATGGCGTGGCTTCTGAGCTGGTGTCAGAGCCTGTGGCTACACTGGACAAGAAAATTCAGTCTGTTTAATGGAACGTCCCATTGACCAGCTTGTATGAATCCCCAAACCCAACCAAGCTCAGGGCCTGGGGATCGGCTTTGAGAGACTTTGGGGCCCCAGGGTCGCCCTGGCCACATGAGCCTGAAAAGGGCGTTCTGTAACCCTCTGGAGCCTGACAGATCAGCGCCTCTGCCTGGGACATGCTTTTCCTATGAGTCCTGAGCACTCCTGACCCCCTCGCAGGCCTCCTCCCGGGCTGACAGCTCGGCTTGGCCCCAGGCCTGGGCCGACTCCACGTGTAGCTTCCCGGTCACGCGGCGGGGACAGAGGAGGAGGAGGAGGAAGGAGAGGAAATGGAGGAGGAGAGAGGAAGGAGGCCGGTCTGGGTAGAAGTCATCTGCGAGAAGAAACCCGCAAGTCCCCTGAGCGCCGTCCCTGCAGGGGGCGCTGCCGACGTCTGGCTCGGGAAGGAGACCTGGGGGCCCACGAAGAGGGGCCGTTCGGTGAGCGGCGACGTGGGGCCGAGGTCCTGGCCAACCCCATCCCCGCCACGCCCGGGCGGAAGCTATCGCGACGATGCGGCGAGCACCGCCTCTGTCTCCTATGGAGGCGGGCACCTCTGCTACCCTATTGCGGAAACAGCCAAACGGGCCTCACCGAGTGTCCCAAGACCTGCCTAGCTTTGAGGGGCGGGGCAGGACGCCAGGAGCAGGACCTCAGGGCCCGCTGACAGCCAGCCAGAGCCCGCTGACTGAGGCCGCAGCCCGAGCAGGAAGAAGCCAGGCTGCCCGAGTTCGGACCTCGGCTGTGCCACGTAGTTTTGCCCAAGTTTAACGTAATCTGTGAAATGGGACAGCGCCCACGTCACAGGTAATCACAGGTTTATTACGATCCCTAGAGCACGGACCAACACTGCTGAATCGACGGGTCTGTTACTATAGCCATCATGGCTTAAGTAGAACTAGGAAACTGAGGCTTGGTGGAAGCGACGCAGCCCGGCGCCTCTCCGCAGCCTCCCGGCCCGGGGCTCTGGCCTGCAGAGCAGGCGCAGGCGCGCAGCAGCCAGCTGGCCTCCCTCCGGCGGCCACTGGGCACCGCCCTCCCGGATCAGGCTGTGCTCCACGTGCAGCGTGTTTACCCACGTGACAACACCCCGCCCACTGTCCGCGCCACGCCCCCACGCTGACCCCGCCCCTGCCCGCCCCCGTCCTCAGGCAGCTAGGCTGCTATCCCAGCGCTGGCTGCCCGAAGCGCGGCCTTGCGCCGCACCAGCGCCCGCCGGGGAAACCCGCAGTTCCTTTACTCCCTCCAGCGCGACGGAAGCGGGGCTCCGTTAGGTCCACCCTGGCAGGGTGCGGGACACCGCTGGGCGCGACGCAGGGGCTCCGCAGGATAACCACCGCCTTGGGGAGGAGCCGAGTGGTAGGGGGTGGAACTGTGCGGGGCCCTGGTACTCCTCGAGGTGCGCACCGCGGAGGGGCGGATCCCAGGTAGCTATGGGCGGTGCCCGGCTGCGCAGGCGCTCTGGCGTCTTCTCGGCTGCCTGACCCGCGTGTCCTGGAGCCTCTGACTCCAAGTATGCTAGACGCGGCGTGCTAGTCCTGGCTTCGGGAGACAGGTCCAGATAAATCTTGGAAGAGTTTCACTTCCCGATTTCTGTGCATCTTTGACAGAGCCATTTTCCTCCTTGGTACTCATCCCCAGATATCCTGGGCACCCTTATTGCTGCTGTCTTTCCTTCCTCTGCCCCTCCCGGTGGTGTCACTAGGATTCGGGGCCCTTTGGCGTCTGACTGCCCCTGCGAGATTGCCTTCGTTCCCTGTATGCAGACAATCCTGATCTAAGGCTAGCTAACCCATGGGTCTTTATTATGTGTCAGACACTTTTGTCAAGTGCTTTATGAACATTTATACTATGCGGACTCATTACCCCTCAGTCTTTATCCCTCTGCCCAGACCTCGGCTCTGAACTCCATATTCTTACATCCAGAAGCCCGCTAGCCCCTGTGCAGGATGACAGGCCCCTCTGAGCCAGCATGTGTGAAGTAAAATGCGCCTTCCTTCTTCCGAATCTGTTTCTCTCAGATCTCCTCTTCAGTGGGTGGTCCCACCTTCTACTCAGCAAGGCTGTCAAACCCTAAACAGGGCTTCAGTCTTAACTCTTCACTCCCAAATCTGATCTGTTCCAGATGACTTGTTCCAAATTTGATTTGACACATCACATCAAATTTTCCCCAACCCACCCTCAATTCTCTACTGCGTTCGTTTTCATGGCCACACGTCATGCTTCGCCTGGACTCAAAGATGATGCATTATTCTCTTGTCTTAATCTGGAGTCCAGCCTTCAGGTGCAATTGCAGGGACACCCCCCTCCCCATTTTGCTATAAGGTGCATGCACTCACTAGAGAGAGACAGAGGGCACGCGATATGAGGAAACACCCCTCAGGGAGGATGACCATGTTACAGTCTCTTCTCCACTCTCCT